TAACTATACAGATTAAATTTGTTCATCATTCTGCAACTGAAACGGACCTGTAGGTCAAACAGTTTAACAGAGTATGACCTAGGATTGAGAAAAGACTGAAAATATACTTGATCTTACCTCAATTATCTTATATGCTCAAGTTCTTCTTGTTTATCTCCCTAGAAAATAATTACAAATACAGTACTTTCTAGACTGTGAAAAGCATTTAGTATTTTACATAGTCCAAGTCATGTAGGCTGTGAAGTACCCTTCGTACCTTCTCTTCGATTTGCATAATTATTAAATATTGATGAGCAAAGTTCACTGTCTCTGTGATAAGCCTAAACAAAGTCAATATTGTTCTGCTTCCAAGTTGATGCTGCTGACTTAGTTCTGCTCACACTTTAGTGTGTATGTGTGTGTGTGTATATATATATATATACGGATCCATCTGCAGATATTGGGATTCCTTCCAGTGGATGCTTAGTTTATTTTGTCATTCTGATCGGATTTTCTCTACTGTTCCGTTTTCTGTTTTAATTTTAAATTGTTTTGCATTATGTGGCCGTTTGCTGTTTTATGGGTTTTTCCCATTTGCCTTTTAAACTTATATATATATATCTCACCCAGCCTATTGTTTCCAATCATGCTTTCATGAAATTCTCACTTTATACAATCTAGCTTTTTCAACCCTCACTCACTCGCCACTGAGGAAGGACTAGTGTTGTCCGAAAGCTCTGGTTCTATTTCTGGCTGTTTACTTACGTTTACTTTTTAGCTGTTGCTTATCATTTTTGTATCTCTACTGAGATCCAGCCATTGTTTCCCACAGCATTGTTGTTTTCCAGTATTTTGCCTTTTAATCTATATATATATATATATATTTAATGTGTAGCGATTCTTTTATTCGTAATCTAATTTCACTGTTGTCCTGGTCAATGATGTTCAAGCAAGTGGTATTAGCTAATGTTTTGCATTTTTTATTTTCATTTAGATGTTTTAAAATGTGTGAATTTTTGTCTTTGCCAAGGTGTTCGTCAATCCTAGTACTCAAGTGTCGGCTAGTATAGCCTATATAGGTGGAATTACATCCACCACATTTGAATTTGTACACTACCATAGAGCGAAGATTACTAGGGATTGCGTCCTTGATACTGAACATGTTTTTTATTTTTGTAGTGGTGAAAACAATGTTTAATTTCAATCCGGTGCAATGTTTAGTTACAATATTTTGTATCTTGTATTTAATGTCATCAGAATATTTACCAATAAATGGAAGTTTGAAATACATGACTTTGTGAGCATCATCATTAACCTTTGATTTAGTGTAGTTAGTTACACTATTATCAATGTATTGTTTACAAATTTTATCAATGACATATGAGGGGTAACCATTTCTTAATAGTATACCTTTTAGATTCACCAAATCATCATGGAAGCCCTTCCAACTATTATTGATTTTATAAATTCTGTCATTATAAAATTTATCTGGCCGAACGACCTCTTGAGGCATAGCATTGTGTAATACAATGTTCCCGACGGGACCTGTTCAACCATGAAGCCTTCGTGGTCCAATGGTTATGACGCTCGCCTTGTCAGCAAGGGGTCGCAGGTTCGAATCCCCTCGGAGGCATTTTATTACACAATGATTAACAAACTAACAAGATTGAAATGAACAATTTACAACTAAAGCAAAATAGAATTGAATAGATCAAGGCTGGGCACAGTGAGAAAAGGGGAACATAAGCTGGAGAGAGGCGACAAAAACTTTTAAATTGTACAAGTTAGAAAATGTAAAGCAAATGGACTATATTCATATAGCTCTATTTGTAATTACTTTGTAATTCTGTTTACGTGTGGTTTGGCTATACCTTTATGTTAAGGTGAATATCTGTCTCTTATACACATCTAGATGTGTATAAGAGACAGATAACACTGAATGTGGAATTTTATCGTGGGAGAAAATTTTACATTGGAGATTTCTCTGTCTCTTATACACATCTAGATGTGTATAAGAGACAGGGGATAAAGTATAAAACCGTATTAGTCTAAAATAATCATCATAAATGTGATGACACAAAAAGACAAAATGTTGTCTATTTAGACAGCATGCTTTTGCATATTTCCAAATATTTACCATCTTCAAAATCTAGTTCGCATAATAACCCTACGCATTCTATGAAAATGACCCATTTCTTGTTATCATTAGGATCATATGATGTATACAGGGCTTACAGCAAATCTTTTATAAATAATACACTTCAGCCATTCAAAAATAACAGAAGCTGTACTATTGTAGAACTGTTTTGATCGTCCAAGCACGATGAATGCGAGCTTCGTCGATGTTATCAACATGACTTCATTATAAGTTTACATGTGCTTGTTTTTTTTTTTTTTCATATCATTTTATTTATTTTGTCTCAGTAAAATACACAAAACAGCAACCGGTTACAATTCAACATAATATAAGCATAAAATATCGGAAACCTAGACAGGATTCCTAAAAGTGAACTAAACACCACTATTAGGTCTCCAGTGCGCTATTCCGATTACACTCAAATAATAAAATGTATAAATAAAATAAAACTTAAAATCTGTAACATTAAAAATAAAATGCTTGTCTAAACAACAGACATATAAAAAATGTAAAACTTATTGAAAATCAATAAAACATTTCTTTATCTATAATAAGCAAAGCAGATGAAACATGATGTTAAAGTAATTCAAATATATGAGTGTTCCTTCAACAAATCAGTTTTAGAATATTATTGCTAATATGAGCGCAAACAGAACAATTGCAGGGAATATAGGATTAAGACCATTTTGTTTAGTAATGTGTCTTGTTTTTGTGGGGTTAGTGGTGTTCTCCCAGCCATTCATGATAGCCTGTCTTGCACCTGCCCAAGTATGAGGTCCCTTAAGTCTGTACGATGGCGGGTAGGCTGGTCCGAAAAATACCTTAGCAGCAAGCTTCGGGTCAATTAGAAACATATCAAGGGTCGGCTTCACGCCAATATCACTAGCAAGTTCCTCTTGGTATGGTACGGGAGCAAACTAAGGAAGAATACAGAGAGTAAACAAACAGTTTTATAAGATCTTTGTAACCTATTTTATGCGCATCACATATCAGTTTTATATAACCATGTAATTGTTTGACTGTTTAAACATTTTAAAATTCAATATTGGCAAGCATAATAATAATAATAATAATTGGCCAAATTCACAAATAATTTACCACGATGCACATTGAGTAATGCAGGCTTATAGTCATCGGCGAATAAACAAAATAGGCCTTATGGCGCTGATATAAAACGGTTAAGACATGGTCCGCGATGGTCTACTAGTATGTCTTTAATACTCGACGTCACATTGGAGCTTAAGACACGAAGAAGAGGCAATTAATATTCCTAATTAATTGTGGTATTCAGCGGTTGGTGTTGTAAAAATTACTTTCTTCTTGTAAACGGAACCCTTTTGATAGAGGTGGGAAGCACATCAAACAACACACACAGCTAGTTACGGGTCTGTTAATTGTTAGTACACCTCTGAGATGGAAAACTGATACAATCTCTTGATACTTTTATTATCACACTGATATTCAACGTCAACCTACTTTTATTTTCAGGTAGCCATATTGTTTTAGCATGTTATCAACGCGTTCTTTGGCTTCGATCTGACGAGTCTCTAAGTCAGGAAGTTTCACTGAGCCTGAAAACACAGAAACAGTCCAGCGGGCCTGTAGCTCGAATACTGGTCCCTGGGCACCCGGGGCACCCACTGCTCCAACGAAGGCAAGCGTTGTGTATTTTGGAGATAGAATATGTTTGAATAGCTCCATCTTTGTTTCTAATAATTACATAAAATAATCAATTAAAACTTCGGCACAGTTAAGTTAATATAAGCATAGGTTTATAAGAGTTACTACAATGAAAGGTTAAATACGTTTTGCTTTACAAATACACAAGCGTAACACAATTATAATGTAATCCACCTTACGATATAGGCCTTGAAAGCAATTAACTTGCTGTAATATTATAATTCACAAAAAGGGAAAATAAAATAAAAATAAAAATAAGAATAATAATTTACCATCAAATATTTCACGAGTAATAAAGGGGAACGTTGTGTCATATCCAGTGGCAAAGATGACAGTGTCAATATCTTCGATACATGATCCGTCAACAAATTTTACACCATTCTCAGTAAATCTCTCAATGTCCGCTTTCACTTTCAGAGTACCGTTGAGAATTCGATCTGGCAGGGAGTCACTCACCATGATGCTTGAACTGAACACGTCTTTCTTGTCTGATCTGAGGCCGAGATTATCTACGTCCATCCTTGACTCTACCAGGCTGCTCAACATTTTCGATCTTATAAATCCAGGAAGATTTGACGAAAACCGGCGGTTGGCCACTGAATCCATTGGCATTCCTTTCGGTCCTCGTCTGGCCAACACGTAGCAACCATTTCGGAGGCTGATATAAGTCTAAAACACCAAATTTTATTTCCGTTCATCATTCATAATTATCATTATTATTAATCTATCTATTAAATTCCCAGAAAAAAAAAAAAAAAAAACACAAGTCGTTATACAGCATTGTCGAGCGAACTTTTCAGCAACTTTAGCAACATCATTTTTGGAATTACGTTATATTCTAGGTCTAAGTTGCATTAGGCCTATACATGGTATTACAAACGTTCATAAAAAGGTTAAACTGTTGGCTCTGCTGGGAATATTAAATGTCGAAAACTATTTGTTTGAATTTAATGACTGATTCTTTTATTTTTTAAATAATATTACTTAGAGCTTAATGCTTTATTTTATAAAGTATTACTACTGATAAGCATTATGATAACGTTAGACAAGATATAGACTATGAAGTTATACATAGTGCTATTCTTACCGACTTTGCATGATGACTGCATTGTGTAGCCGCATCTCCAGCAGAATGAGATGCACCTGAATTGGAAAAAAAAACATATTTAAATTTAAACCTATTTCCCTGGATTTTATTTAGAAGTGATCGAAATGTTAATTCATATGTACAATTATTATTATTTTGAATTTATCGAAAGAAATTTAGGTACCCTGGAAAGCGTCTTAAATAGTAGAAAACATACCAACGACCAGTACATTTTGACCAGCAAAGTCCTCTCCTCTTCTGAACGTGTTGCTATGAATGATTTGACCTTTAAACTCGTCCATACCCGGATGTTCTGGAATCTTACACTTAGAGTGGCATCCCGTGCAAACCATCACGGCATCAAATATGTCAGTCTGTTCAATGAGCTGCTCTTGGTCCCTTTGTCGGGTTGTGACATTCCATTGGCCAGTCGTTTGGTTATCGTCTGTTGGACTAACATCGACCACTTCTGTGTTAAATTTGATGTATTTCTCTATATCATAATATTTAGCATAGTCCCGGTAGTATTTGATCACGTGATGAGTAGATAAATATGGTGGATATTCAGGTGGAAAGGCAAAGTCACTGAAACACATCATTTCTTTGCTGGAATTAGTAACAAGTCCATTGTACATGGCACTGGCCTCTCCTCTTGTGTCATCGTCATTGTAAACCCAAACACCACCTGTAAAAATAAACTATGTGAAATTACCATCATCGATTAGGATAGGCCTAATCATCATCATCATCATCATCATCATCATATCATCTTCATCATCACCATCATCATCATATCATCATTACCACCATGATGATGATTATCATCATGTTCCTCTACTTCCATCGCTTCCTCATACACTTTTTTTTTTAAAGAACACATTTATTATTAAACTGAATTTTATATTAATATTGAATAAATATCGCTTGATTGTTCACTCTCATTACGTATTGAATGACCTAAAGAGTGAATATACCAATCCACATGAATAGTGTTGAATATTTCGTGGTATCAACGACACATCAGCAGCTGAGACTGGAATTAGGCAGGCCAGGTCTTATATACTGTGCTAATAAGCTAACAGGTGTTGGAAAGTATTGAGAAAAAAAAATCAATAAGGAAGCGTCACTAAGCTCATTCTTACGGTTTATAGAGGGCCTAATGCGATTCACACATTGTGCTTCCAACACACGAAGGCGCAATTCACCTTTACTTTGGGCGCTCTTCTGACGATGGTAACCAAGATATCGGCGTCTTTCACGGCAGGATGACATTCACCAAAGTGCGCGCCGAGCGCAGAGGTGGTGCTGTGTTTACGCGCCGAAGCGAGATGTTCAATTACCCCATGGAAGTATTAGGCTACGTTCAGACCTGTGAGATACGCCAGGCGTATCTAACGCCAGGCGTACGTTAATCCATGGCGTAACTAGCGAGATGTCCAGACTGGGCGATTAATGAACGCTAGCGTAAGTATTCGCGCGAAATATTCGTATTCGTAATTCGCGCATTTTATTTTCTGTTTACATCTAGCTTTATTTTGATTGGTCAAATCTTGGCTGAGTTCAAAATCACCGATGCGTGACTGTCGTAAATCAGTGGCGTACGCTAATCTGGGGTCTGTTGCTGGATCACCGTACGCCAGTGATTGCGCGATAATACTGGCGTTCGCTACGCCGCGCACAAGTTCACACCGCTCGATTAACGTTACGCTAGCGTAAGTCGTTGTGTCTGAACATAGCCTTATTGAGAAGGAGATCACTCGGCAAAGCTACGCGCACGCAGCGCTATGCAAATGAACCAAGATCAAAGTTGCCGCAGCGCGTAAAGAACGTTTGCGCGATGCCTTTGAAGTCCCATTTGTTCCCCGCCATCAAATTTTCAGCAGGCATAGTTGACCAAAAAATTGAACATAACGAAATGGAGAGCACCTTCTTTTCTCAATGCGCACTACATACTGTCAATCACTATGGCTGCGCAATTTTTTCTATTTTGAAGCTGATACATTTATCTCTCATAAAATATCAAACATATTTTCCACCAAGAAAAGTTTCGAATTTAATGGAACATTTACATGACCTATAAAAGTATAGTATATTTCAACTTCAATTTTCATAAATTGGCCTAAATTCGCCAATTCTAATTTTAACAGATATTAATTAATAAATGATTAAGGATTATAATAAACTAAGTCATTTTAGGGTTAACGAGGGTTAACTATTCGAAAAATGAATCCAAAATCTGAGTATTTTTCAGTTTTACGCTGACTTAGCTTTATAGTCGAACCAGTCAATCTTTAGACAAAATTATAATGAACACAGAAGTAATTTTAACATAGATATTTTACGGAATCCGTTCCTGAAATATACAAATAATAACATACCAAAAGCCCGAAAAAATCTAATCAGGGGAACATTGTTCATTATAAAGATATTTAATGGGTTAAAATCAAACGTTTTATTGTACAACTGCTCTGCTGGAAGCGTATAAATGCATGTCGTTGGCAAGTTGTTGCTAACGAAAAAATGTGAATTATAGGGTAATACGCCCGAGCGCGATCCAAAAGCGGGGAACACATAAGCCTCGTTCACATCGAACTATGTCGACTAGATTATCTACTTGATGTCGACAATAGTTTCGACGTGAACGGTCAATTACGGCGAGATAAAGTTCATAACTCGACGATGGCTGTTAGCTCGACTAACTTGTAAATCCAGTCATCGTCGAGTTGATAACGCACCACGGGTGGCCTCGGGTCACGAATACACCAATCAGAACGAAGCCGGTTGACCCTTAGCAAGCTTTCTTGTTTGTTAGTTTATTTTGATCGTTCGAGAGAGAAGGTTTTTCAGTGTAGGCCTAGCTTAGATCTTTATATCAATTATAACCGAGAAAGTACGCCAAAAGCGACATTGTTGGACTTATGAAGAAGAATGCGATCTTATTGAGCAAATGGCTGTACGAATGCGTGATCTTGGTCACACCGGGATCACAACCGCCGCTCTCTTGACCAAGTTGAAAAACTTACGAGCTGAATTTAAAGCTGTTCGGGACGTCTACATTCGGGGGACTGGAAAGGGTACTACAATATCCGACGATCCCAATAAAGCGTCTTGCCCCCCCCCCCCCATTACCATGCACTGAACGAAATTCTTTTCACAACACAGCACTATTATAGATTTTCATGTAAGTGGAGAAAAGGTTATGATGGCTGATCGGCTCCCGCGAAAAAAAAAAAAAAAACAAAACAAAACATTGCCCACACCCGATGCAATTGTACTTCCTGTTTGGTCGTAGTTGGTCCAGCAAGGTATCTCGACATAATCGGACCATCGAACGCAATTAGGAGTGTAGCGCTGTTCAATAGTTTATCTACTTGTGTCGACAATAACCGATGTGAACCAAGCTTTAGAGTTCTAGACTAGACTATCTATCTTGTATTTCTAGTATCTTAGGTGATATCGATTTCCGCTTCTAGTGTATTTCTAGTATCTTAGGTGATATCGATTTCCGCTTCCGCACTTCCTCATTTTCTGCGCATGCGCATGTTATCATTAGAGCGCCCGCTACAATCGAAATCTAACAAATGAAAATGGTGGCAAATTTGAAATACTGTACACTGAGATCCAGCCTAACTAAGCCTAGAAGTAGTACAGTACTAGCGTTTATACGACAGAGAAAGAGTTACTTGCTGTAAGTTGGTCCAACTGATACTTCTTTATGAGAACAAGTAAACCTTGGCCTAAGTCTTCACATGAATTTTACCCTAGATATTACTTTAATACAGAAAATTCACAAACGTTTTCGGCCATAGGCCTTCATCAGGTGTACAGCATAAAAAAAGAAAAAACAATATATACAAATATAACGGACGTAAGACAAAGCAACATATGACGTGAAGCCACGCTATAACAGAAAAAAGAACAATAGCCTTAAGGGCGTATGCCAAGCTACAAGCTTGACAGCAGTCAAGATAAAAACGCGGGAAAAATATACTATGGTAAAAATCACATACATATATATAATATATAAGAAGAAATAATATATAGGCCTATATGAATATAAAAATGAAAACGAAAAGAAAAAAAATAAACAGTATATAAATAAAATAAAAAGAGCTGATCAAATAAAAGCAACATCAAACACATGGTCCAAAATCCAAATCCAAACAAGATAGAAATTAAATCTTAAAAGCATTGAAAGATACATTAAGACCGGAGGGAGCAATAATGCCTAATTTAAAAATCAATTTTTGCTCCAAGTTTTTTCTAATAGTGTCGGATCCTTGACAGAGAGAAACACCAGTGATCTTGATATCTTCTTTACTGTGATTATGACTAAAATGCGACGCAATGGGTAAACCAGCTTGCCGGAGACGGATGGATCTACGATGTTCAGTAAAACGATCTGCCATTCTCCTTTTGGTTTCGCCGATGTATAGAAGATTACATTTAATACAGATAATAGCGTATATGAGATTGATGGAAGTGCATGAGAAAGTGTCCTTGATAGCATGAGTGCCGGATGGTCCTTTAAGAATATTGGTGAAGTAGATGTGTGCGCAAGTATTACAACGAGGCCTATGGCATGAAACAGTCGATCCTGAACAATCATCAGTAGACCTGAGGGATGAGCTGACGAGACTGATATATATATATATATATATATATATATATATACAAATACACGCACAAACAAACGCATACATATGGTGCAGTCCGTTAAGTATAAATAAGAATGGCTGACAGACAGTTAATACCATACATTATTTTTTATGTATGTGTAAGATATCCAAAGTTTTCTCACTTTAATGTTGATAAAGATAGCAGGAGCTATAGAAATATCCGTTTGATTTTGTTATAGTTGAATAAATTTGTGTTACGCAAGTCAACTTTTAATGATTGTACACATCCATTAGAACACGGAGAACTGATATAATATAACATGCCTTTAAAACCCTAGACACCTTTTCTCATACAACTGACTGAAACGCTCACACATAGTGGCAGGGACTTAGCCGTGACACCCCCCCCCCCCTCACCTTTGTACACAGTGTTAAAATTTTAAAGCTTATTTTTGAGCCAATACAAATTCTTTCCTGGGATCACTCAAAATGAATACGGAACTTCTAAATGTAAATATGCATCAGTACACGTTATACATAGGCCTAATAGAACACATAGGCCTAAATCCATAAATCTCAGGGCAGGTCTTTTAAGAGAGAAATGCGATACTGTGGTTCAATTTCGTTTTTATCCTTATGCAAGTTTCTTTAAATTTTTGTTTAATAATACTAATACTACTAGTAATAATAATAATAACAATGATGATGATGATGACGATAGTAATAATTGATAATAATATTAATAGCAATAAAAAGTGAAGAAAATTTTGCTAAATGCGAAAAAAAGTTGTGATTTGTTGATCATAATTGTTATAGTATATATAGTTAAAGCTTAGTAAGCTATAGTTATGCCTAAGTTGTCCTGGATATTAAGTAGATCCTTGATAAAAGATCATGAGAAATTTGTTGGCTTTTCATTTTGACTATAATGTTGATGTGATGATGATAAATTTTACTATATAAAAGTGTCATTTCCGGCCATCTCGAGAGGTACTATTTCCTCAAATTTTCTCACCTCAGCCCCAGCCATGGTGGGGCTGAGTTAGTTGTGAAATCACGTTTTGAAGTAGGCCTATGTAAAGTACATACTCAAAGACAATGTTTTTAAGCTTTGTTTTCTATGGTATATCACACACATTAATAAGATCTCTATGGTTGTCAAAAATCCCTGATAAAAGATCATTTTTTTTTTTGGCCCTTCATTTCGACTAATGGTGATGTGATGATTATGAATTTTACTAAAAGTGTCATTTCAGGCCATCTAGAGGTAATGTTTCCCCAAATTTTCTCACCTCAGCTCCAACCATGGTGGGGCTGAGGTGGGTGTCGACTCACAAAATGGCCTCCCCTCCACCTTTCAAAGCAGATCTGTGCCCATCCCTGGGTATGACATTAAACTCCATCGAGTCGGCTCCTGATGTATGTCTTAGTGACTGCTGTTTGTTTTTAGGATATGATTTGGTTTTTCATGTCCGTTTTTCGTGATTATGACTATTCTGGATAAAGGATGTTTTGAGCAGAGGCCCCCTACCCCCCTCCCTTCATTTTTTTTTAAGGGAAAAAATATATTCAAATTAAAGTGCGAGAGTGTAATTTCCGGCAATCTAGAGATGCCCTAATCATAAATTTTCTTACCTCAGCCCCAACCATGGTGGGGCTGAGGTGGCTGTTTCCTCGGTCTGTGAAAGTCCCTCCCTGGTTCACCTCTCTTTCTAATTCCTGGATCTGCCACTGTTGATTTATTATATAATTATTTTTGCGCTTATCCTAGCTAAGTCCCTGCATAGTGGAGCTAGATAAGCTAGAAAATATTATAGATCGCAGCTTAAAAATCATAGTAAATATTCTTAGCGACGAACTTTTTTCCACAAATTGAAAATTACTACCCTGCCAAATTGTTTACAATAAAATTTAGGACTATGTTATTATTACAACACTGCTTCTATTCAAAGAAATAGTAAAATAAAATGATTAAGACCTAATTTATTAAGGAAATATACAGTAAAACGTTTATATTTTATAAAACAAAACTACTAATTTCTAGCAAAATTTAGAGAAATCATAAATCTTTTCACAATGTTTAAATCATTGTTAAACCAACTATTTCGATTTCTAATAAATCTTGCTATGGCAATCAGCCAAAAATCAACATACTCACTGTGTCGTCTCTGCTGGCAATCTTGAAAATTCGGCTGTGTAAAGAGTCGGCTAAAGTTATACTGTAGGAAAGTGTAATACATACTCCAAGTATTGAAATACACGCCATCGTGTTGGGATTCAATATTTCGACATTAATTATGTCATCATCAGGAATGTATGTATAATATTTCTTATCTGAGATTAATCAGTGGACCTTTCGGTTATACTGTAGTTTTATTTACTTTTCAAAAGGGATTGCTCAGCGTCCGGTTTACGTGGTTGTTATCCAACCAATCACCAACAAGACCACACGATAAACATTATCTTATTTCGTTTGGGAATGCGGAGGAGGGCGACGTTGTCGAGTACGCAATGAGTATTCTTGTATCTGAATAGGGTATTTCCCTTGTTCTCCCAAGAATTGCGAGCGTAAGCACTTCCACGATACAACCGTGCCCTGGTCATGTATACACACTTCAGTATTTTGCCTAATCTCCGTAATTGGCATAATCAGTTACGGTATTATATTTATATAGCATTACACAGGCCTGCTTATGACGGCCACCCTGGATATAGCATAGATACACATTGGCAAAGTTACAGATCTAATCCCCCTCTTTTCTTCCAATCAGTAGGAGGCTTTTCCGGTCGAGTCATTTTCATTATTAAACAATGCAAGCACTTCTCAGTATTATTATAATACTATGACATGTCTTCTTCTAATTGGTTTTTTTTTTCTTAAATAGACCTACAAAATAATTTATGACCTACCACAATTGAAATATTTTTTTTTTTTACGAATTACAAAAACATGATCATGATGTTGATGATTAATATTCTTACGTTATTTAATTAGGCAAATTATTAAACAGTCAATAATACCAGGGAGTTGTTATGAGTTAAATTATAGACTTTAAAGTTTGAAAATGCCTTTTCCTCCATTAAAACATAAAATTAAGTATCTCAGCCCTCGCAATTTTAGGGCCGAAGTCGTTCAGCTACCACCCACGCACATCTTCGCTATCTGTAAAATTCTCTCCCAGACCACCCTCTCTTTTGAATTTGTTGATCCACCAATATGCCATCATTATATGATATTGCTGTAACCAAGGTTGTATACTAACATACCAGTATATTTTATGATCGCAACGGTGCAAGCTGTCTCTTATACACATCTAGATGTGTATAAGAGACAGCATATATATATATATATAAACATATATATATATATATATAAATCATCAAAGAAAGGTAAATACAATGGTAATATGACAGGAAAAAAATCTTATATCGAAAAAAGAAACTTTGCGTCCAACGGGTTTGGGTCCTGGTTAAGGCAAAGTTTCTTTAGTTTATTTTAATCAGATTTTCCTCCTCTGTTACGTTTACGTAATACATAAATTGTATTAGGCTTATTACATGTTTTTTCTGTCTTTATCCTATTTGTCTATTAAATTATATATATATATATATATATATAGATAAAGATATATATAATAAAAATATAATAATAATATATGTATATAATAATTATTATTATACATATAAATATTTCCATAAACCGACAAATACGAAGATCGCGATTAAAAAATTACTATTTTTTGATGCCAATTTCTGACCTGAAAAATTGGTTGCAGGATTCATGTATTTATTATTTAAAATATATTAAATAAATTGTAGTTATAAGGTAACAGTGTTTATATCAATCTATTAATTAATTAGTAATTAACTAATTTAAGATATTAAATAAGATTATATTAATTAATATATTCGTGAAGTTCTTGTGAAAGTTATTTACATAATTGCAGTTTATTTACACGGCATTTCGACGGATATTCTTCACCTCGTGTGAACCATCCTGAGCTCTGCTTACCAAAAATACACGGTAATAGCGCGATAGTATTAGCATTTGCATACATGAAAACACTTCGGTGATGTTTTGTTTTTTGTTTTTGTTTTGTTTTACATTTATATCCAGCGTTAGGCCCACTGAATTGTTTAAATAATTGAAAACATAAATTACGGTATGTGGATTAAATTCTCATAATAATTTACAATGAAACTTTATAATGTACGGTAATTTATAAGATTATTTTTTTAAACCGAATAAAATAGGTAACATTTGATTGGAAAAAAAGAACAGATTTTAAATCTATAGACGTAAGTTGATTTAATTATTAATGGTATTATAGGCCTATACCTATTATATATTTCTATAAATTAATCAACAAATATCTCATTAATCACACTATCGAAAATAGGCCTATTGAAGTACTATTAATTCTTTATTAAAGCATTATTCGAGCACCTTAATTATTATTATTATTATTATTATTATTATTATTATTATTATTATTATTATTTTACCGTATATATTATTTATCAACCATACTAACATTGAAATCATGAATTATGTGGATAAAATTATCATAGAAAATAAACTTATAGTTTATAAGATTATTTTTTAAAACAGAATAAAATAGATAACATCTATATTTAAAAAAACAGGTTTTGCATAGACGCAAGTTGTTTTAATATATGCTGATTCATCTCATTAATCAAACAATTATTATAGTATTATTCGAGCACTGTTATTATTATTATATTATTATTATTATTACTACTATTTTATTTTTAATGTTTGTTGTTCTATTTTTTGTTTTATGTATGGGCCTAGATATATGTATATATTTAATAATTAGAAATAAGTATAATTAATTATAAAACATATATAATATAATGTTAACAATAATATAGGCTAGGCTAGACCTAACCAATTATTGATACCATCATTATAGATAAAAACATCCATTTGATAATTAAACAGCAGCTTTTCGAGTGGCAGTGCCGATAGAAAACTGCAGTGTTTTGGCACTGCGGCAGTGCCGATAGACAATCGGAGCTTTTTTCGCACTGCGGCAATAATGCAGATAGAAATTAACAGCTTTTTTCGCTCTGTGGCAGTGCCGATAGAAAACAGCAACTTTTTGGCACTGCGGCAGTGCCGATAGAAAACAGCAGCTTTTTGGCACTGCGGCATTGCGTGCCGATAGAAAATAGCAGACTTTTTTCGCACTGCGGCAGTGCCGATAGCCTCAGCCTTAGTGACATAGGTAATATCCTTTGCACGGTACAACAGTTTTGCTGCCTAACGGAAAACATAAAAAATTGTCAGAATGATGTAAACAAAAACAAAAAAGTGTATTTTCAATGTATATATACTTCGTAGATTGTATTCACATTATTCGCAAATGGGTTACTAATGTCTCCTACGCTGGACAGGTCCGATGGTATCATGACAACAGTTAAAACGTAAACAAAAGAACAAAAGTTAACCGAGGGCAGCATGTAGGTATTATAATAATATAAAAGCTGGTGTTTAGCTAGACGTACAGATAAAGATCATGTTTTAATGGACAAAGACAAATTGAATGAAACAAACCATTTAATTATAAATAATTATGTATTTTATTAGAAAGTATATTACATACTCCAAGTATTGAACTACACGCCATCGTGTTGGGATTCAATATTTCGACATTAATTATGTCATCATTAGGAAATGAAAAAATTATCCATATTAGCAAGCTTATATGCACTAGTACCAAAAGTGTTTAACCAAACAAAACATTACCTCTAGTAGGTGACATAGCAGTGATTTAAACAAAAGATAAAAGCATTCTTACTCTAATGATCAAAGATACCTACAAAAACAAAGAAAGCTCTTTTGAAGCTCTGAGCCCATTGTTAAGCAAAGGGTGTAGTCTACGTATAGCGAACGCTTCTTTAAACAATTAGGATAGACCAGTTTCGGGAGCTGTCAATAATGTTAGTACTAGAAAATATTAAACCTAATTTATTACTTACATTACAGACGACATTATCATTCTCAAGTATACCCTGTAATCCTAAAACATATTGGAATGCCTTACAGTTTTTAACATGATCAAATATAACACTATCAGATCGTGAAGAATGTTCTTTAAGTCTAGTTATTAAGCACCTATCTGTCTTACCAATATAATCACTATTGCAGCCTGGACATTTAAAATGATAGACAACAGAACTTCTGTACTCCCTAAGGGTTTGATCCTTAGTAGATATAAAATGAGAAACATTTTTATACTGCCATAAAGTTATGAATTTTACCTCTTTAATTAAGTGTTTCTTTACCTTATTTAAACATCTACGTAAAAGGAACTCACCTGGTTTTCCTAGATAAGGCAATCTAACCCAAATCTTAATCAAGCTATCATCAGTAGGCCTATGTATACATTTAGGTTCATTTAATTTCTTAAGTACATTATTAACAACTTTTAAAGGGTACCCATTCCAAGACATAAACTTCCTGATGTTACTCAGCTCTGTTTGAAGTTTATCAGGAGTACACAATCTGTGGGCTCTAGAAACTAAACTACGAATTCAGGAGATCTTATGGTTCCATGGAGCAAAGCAATCATAATGGACACGTTGACCTGTATGTGTATTTTTACGACATATACTCATGCTTCCTACACTGTTGTTAAATTGTAAATCCAGAAAGTGTACTGTGTCACTGTTTTCAAATGATTCAAAAGTAAAATTTATCTGTCTGTGAAAAGCATTGAAGTAGCTTAGAATTTGCAGGAAATCATTGGGCTTAACTAATACTAGCGTGTCGTCAACAAAACGAGTATAAAACTTAATTTGATTCAACAAGTTTAGGATTCAATAAGTTTAGGAACAATAGACTCTTCTAGTTCAGTCATTAAAATATTAGCTAAAACTGGGCCAAGAGGCGAACCCATTGAGACACCATCAGTTTGTTTATAAAATTCATTATTACATGTAAATGTATTTATTATTATCATTAAACCTTGCCACTTTTCTACTAATATACATTTCGTATCAATAGACCATCTAATATTTAAAACAATATTTAATTTAGTCGGAATATTACTAAGGCCAAATTATATATATATATTATATATTTACGATACATTAATACTATCACAAGACTGTACTAACACCACTATAAAAATTGTTATTCCCATTAAAATCAATACTATAATATATGGCCTAGTCTAGGCTTAGTTTCTGATATCTGTTATTATTAGGCAGCCGGGTGACCCCTGGTCAGCATTTATATAAT